CCTGGAGCTACCCGGCCCATCTGGTTGGCCCTCCTCCACAGGCTCCAGGGCCCCACCTGCCCAACCCACCTCCCTGGGAGACCTTCGCCCCTCCCCGCGCCAGGGAGCAGAGCCCAGCCCTTGGGGCGGCCCCAGGAAGCAGGGAGTGGGGCTGGCCAAGCGGAAGGCCTCCCCAGCGCTGACGCTGACGGTGGACTATGAGCATTGCCTCAGCATGGAAAAGGGGTTCTTTGTGCACCCTGGGTCCCAGGCCTGGTGTGGAGGGGAGGAGCGCAGGGGGACAGGGACAAAGAGAGAGAAGCTGTGAAGAAAACCAATAAGGAAGAGAAAAGGAGAGAGAGAAAATAAAGAGAACGTTGCTTGTACACCTGCTCAGCGACAGCTTATGATAACGCTGAAATAGCGCTGTGTGTGTGTGTGTGTGTGTGTGTGTGTGTGTGTCTGTCTGTCTGTCTGTCTGTCTGTTTTCTCCTGGGAAATCTTACAGCCAGGGAGACGAGCCAAGTTAGCCCATTGGACAGAGGGGAAAGCTGAGGCTCGGCTTTGGAGGTCACACAGGTTTAAGGGCAGGGTGGCTGGGGTTTGAACTCATTTTGCTTGACTCTCAAGTATTTTTCTCATCCCTTGAGAAAGGGGGAAAAGAATCACATTGATAGTGGTGGACAGTGAAGGTCATGGAGGCCAAAGACCCAACTCTGCTGTTTGCAAACCCTGAGTTTGTTTGGCGGGTAGATAGTGCTGGGCACCCCAACCCTGCCTTTTCCCAGCAGTTTCCCTGCCCTCTGGGCCCCCTGTCCTGGGGAACTTTCCATCCTTGTGTGTTAAATGCAGTTGACTGAGGGGCTGACTGTCACCTTGAAAAACTGGAAAAAGAAAACGAAAACCTGGCTTTGAGTTGATGTTTGCAGCAAGGCCAGGACCCTTTTATCTTCCTCAGTCTGTGCCAGCTCAGCTGGGGCACGGGGCCGCTTCGTCCCTTCACACAACCACCAGGGAGGAAGCATCCACTACCTGCCCATTCACAGGGTACCACCATTCCAGGGAAAACGCTGCCTCTGGGTCACAAAAACAATGTTTGAGCCCCGCCCCACCACCTGTCACCGCAGATGGTTGTGGGAACCCCAGTCTCACCGGGGTGATCAGAGAAAGCTTATTCTGATTCTAGATGCTGACTCCAGAAATGATGCCCTGCAGGCAGGCACCTAAGCCCCTCTGGATGGGGGGGTCGAAGAGGAGGGGACATTTGAACTAAGGCTCAGGGTGGGAGGGTAGCAGGCTGGGGGTGGGAAAACGCAGGCTTCGGGGAGGTCAGGAGGCCTGGATGGGCTGGGGGGGCAGCAGAGCATGGATCGGACACAGACATGAGAGCAGGGGCCTGGCATGTCACATACGATGAGGGCTTTGCAACTGGTGCACAGCAGGAGGACAGGAGGGAGTCCCTGAAGGCTTGTGAGCAGAAGATACGGCAGCAGTGAGATTTTTGGCCATGTCCAGGGAGCCAGGACCGAGCTGTCTGTCGGGAGAGAGGGAGGCATGTGCCTGAGGCAGGATGTGGGAGAAACCACGGGACATTGTGATCAATGGGGAAAGGAGAGGCTGAGAAAGAAGGTGAGGACTGGGGTTCTGGAACTTCTGTGGGGGCAAATAGGAAGCAGGAATCAGGTGTGGGGTGGGGGTGACCTTGTCCTTGAGGTATCCACAGGGCTCCCAGCTCCCAGTTCCTAGCAATTGGGTCTGTAGGCTTGAGAGAGCGCCGGGCTGGAGCTGGTAGTTCAGGGGCACCTGCAGCCATGGTCTCTCAGGGCACAGCGTGGAGGTGACAAGTCCTCGGAGGTGGGACCCCTGAGACTCCCTCTCCAGATTCTGGAGCTCCCTGATCTGCTTCCTATGTGGGTAGGTGGGTGGTGGGTGCTGCTCCAGCTCAAAGCCAGACACCTCTCCTGGGGCTTATCCACAGAGTAGGGGGCTGGCAAGGGGCCCAGGCAGGGGTGGGGGGGCAGCCACCCCGGGCTTCCCAGTTCTTCCTCCACAGACCAACGTCTGCTCACTCCGTGGGCAACCGCACGCCCTGCCACAGCCCCAGCTCCCCTTCCACTCTGAGAACCTGAGCGTGCCTGGCTTTCAGCGTCTGCTACCTCCCACCCACAGCTTCCCAGCAGCTCAGCCTCAGGAAAGCCCCCCACCCCCATGCTGCTCAGCTTTTTGACTCCCCCCAGGGCCCCACCTGCCCTGCTCCTCGATGAACGCCTCCTGGGTGCTGGGATGGAGCAGAGGGAAGCAGGTGACATCTCCATTTTGGCAGGTTCCAGGCCAGCGAGGGGAGGCAGATGGTAAAACATCACAGCGGGGGAGGGCCTGCCAATAAGACAGTTTCCAGATAACCAAGTTGCTGGACCCAGACCGTGGGTGATAGGGAAGAATAGCCGAGGATGCACTGATCAAAATGACAGGGAACAGGGTTGCAGAGAGAGGGAACAGCAGAGGCAGAGGCCTCATGGTAGGAGGGAGCCCTGGGCATATCGGGGGCCAAAAGGTGGCCTGTGTGGCCGGAGCCTTGAGAGCAGCGGAGAGCCCAGTGGGGGACAGTGGGAAGCTCTTACTAGGTACTTGGTAAATCACCTGGAACATACTGGGCACTGCCCGGGAAAACTGCTGGTTGCGAGTCAGGGCCTGGAGTTCTGCACTGGAGTTCCATCTGTGATCTTGAGTAAGACACTTTCCTTGTCTGGGCCTTTTTGATAAATCAGCGATGCCCCCCACTCACTATATGCTGATCCTTGAATGCTTGGAGACTTTGCCCTAGCCGTTCCCACCACCTGCAGGCCCCGCCCCTTCTCCTGTGCATCATTCCAGTTTCAGAGATGCCTCTTCCAGATGCCACCCTGACCACCCCTGTTGCTTGGGTCTCTCACTGTTACATCACCCTGCGTCAGTTTTTGCCGAGCTCATGCTGCAATGTCCTGTTGGTTCTTCTGCGTGTCTGTTGCCTGTCTGCCCACTAGCCTGGGAACTCTGTGCCCTCAGGGACTCAATGACATTGTTGGCCAAGTTACAGAGGCTGAAGGGTAACAGAAGATGCTCCTGCCCTGGCATCTGAAGGACCTGAATTCAACACATGCCCACCATCCCTGTAAATTTGTTCTGAGGACGTGGGCAGGTCACTCAGTCTCCCTAAGACTCAGTCTTCTCATCTGCAAAGTGGATCTTATCTATTACAGAGAGTCCCACATGAGGCTCTCCTCCACCCCTGATGTTAAGTCCTGTTCCCATCTTGGCCCTCAGTCCCAGGAGGTGGGGTGGCCAGGGACGGATCCAGGTCAAGTTCATCCACTTCTGTTAGCTCTTCCTTCGTAGCTGCTGCCTTAGCCTTCGTCGACATATATACAACGTCATGTTGTGTACAACTTTAGGGTTTGCATTTAATCCTCAAGGGTTCACCTTCTTTCACATCTGTTTATACTATATCCCTATTTACTAAGTGGGGAGGGGGCTCCTTTATATAGTGCTTCACTGTTAATACCTGTTCTGTTTCGGGGATGTTCTTTTCACGCATTAAGAAATTTCAAAATTAAAGAAAAGGTGGAGCTTCTGAGCATCAGGAGGGAGCCCAGTTTTCTGGTGGCCAGGTGGAATTCCTACTCCCTAGGGCCCCCCAGGAAGCAGGTTCAAGGACAGAGCAGGTCACAGGCCACCTCTGAAGCAGGGTCTGTTAGTATCTTGTCTATTTCATGGAACCCACATCAGCATACAGACTCCCAGGCACACACCCACAGGGGACCACAGCTCCAGCCTTCCTCCCTCCCTTATTGCTCCTAAACCCCGACACCCCTAGCCCCTAGCATCTCAAGGAGTCACGTTCAGATGAGATAAATGCCCTGTCTGTGTTTGAGACACCCCACCAAGTCGGAGCCTCCATCTCTTCAAGAGGCCAGTCTCCCCAAATCTTTTCCAACAAGGTAACAGAGAGACACAGGGGCTTTAGAAACCAGGCAAGTTTTAAATATATGTTGGCACAATATTAACATTAAATACACATCATAAATAAGCCTTATAAATAGGAAACAGATAAAAACTGATAAAAATCGATAAATTAGTCATATCCCCCCAAAGAATTGGCCCAGCCGCTTCTGCCCGCCCCCCAACCATTGTTTCAGCGTGAGGATATTTCATGATGCACCACCAGGGGGAGCAGCCAGCAGCCGGGACCCACGACTGAGCGCTTCCAGGCAATAGGTCTATAGAGAACTCAAGTCTTCTGGCCATGTCCGTTTGCACTGCATTCCGATAGCCACTCTATGTCACCAAATCCCAGCGACTGGCAAGCAGAGAGGGCTTTACACCAACCCCCTTGAATCACAAAGAGAAAACTGAGGTCCAGAGAGGTAAAGTGGCCTGTCTGAGGCCACACAGTGAGTTAGGGGTTGAGCTGGGACCTGAGCCCTGTTCTTAGCGTCCCCCCACCCACCCAGATCAGTGCTCCTTCTAGGACACTCTGCCCCTGTCACAGCTGCCTAAAGTGAGGTCACCCAGATGTCCAGGTGTCTGGCCTGAGACTGGCAATGAGGCATAGGAGGCCTGCTCAGGCCCTGACCTCCCCCTCGGAACCAAGCCACCATGGAAAGGAGGAAGTCTGGGGGCAACAGCCCCGCAAGTCATGAGAGGGAAGGGCCGGCAGGCCTCTGGGGAGCAGAGCAGGGGGGGGCAGTCAGTCTGGCCATGAGTCAACCTGTGTCATCAGACCCCTGAATCAATGGAAAGTTGGCCCCGCGTGGCCTGAGCCGGCCACCCCACCGAGACTGGGGAACTCAGGGCTGGGGGCTCAATGGCCTGACCCTACTGTCCCAGCCCAGAGGAGGTAGAGCGGCCTGCCTGGCTCCCACCCCTTAAAGTGCACTTCTGAGAGGTGGGGAACAGAGGGGAGCGGGGTTTGGAGGCCCCAGGGGAGATGCCATCCTACACAGTACCTGTGGATCCTTTATCTGCCAGGGCTGCCCCTAAGGCTACCGGGGCAGCTGCCCCCTGGGCAGGAGTCTCTTGTTCTTCCTGGAGAGTTGCATCCTGCTGGTCCCCTTCCGCAGGCCCTGGTGGGGGCTGTGTCTCCGGCTCCGACTTGGGCTCTCCCCCCACTCTCGGAAGACCTGCCCCACGGAGTGCATGAAGCGGTGATAGCCATGCAGGAACCTGCAGCCCTCTAGCCGGCGCTGAAAGGTGTCTGAGGTGGGGGTGGGCGACGGAGACGTCCCCGGGCCTGTCGGAGTGGGCTCCGTTGTCTCCGAGGAGCCTGGAAGCAGCTGGGCCATGCAGTGGATGTTGTTCTTGAACCCGCGAATGTTCTGCTTCGCCCTATTCAGCATCTCCAAGTCCTGGGCTCTGGGGATGTCCCGCCGCAAGGCAGTCAGTCTGTGCAGAACGTGGCCCAGCGTGGTGTCGAGGGTCCGCAGGAATTCCCACCTGCCGAGCCCCTGCAGGGCATCCTTGCTGGGGAAGGCCCCGGGGCGCTCCCGACAGTGCTCCTTCAGTCCATCCTTGTCCAGACCTTGGCTTTGGATCTGGAGGGAAAGGAGAATCAGGGGGTGAGGCTAGAGCCCCCACTGTGCATGCGTGCACACACACACACACACAGACAAGTCTGCTCTGGTCTGCCTTGAAATGCTGGACCTCGTGCACCCCATCCAATCCTCCCGTTGTACAGATCAAGAAACTGAGGCCAGAGAGGGGTGAGGACTCCCCAGTGTCAGGGGACAGAAGGATGCTGGGGCGCTGGTTGGGGTGACTGCCCAGGTGGTGACTGTGGTGCGGGGAGTGTAACCGTGGGCTTCAGGAGGGCAGGTCTCTGTTTTGGTCACTGCTGTGTCTCTACACTACACCTGAGGGTTGAGACAAGCTGGGAAAGTTCTGTCGTCTCCTTAGTGTTTCAGAGTTAGGCCTGGAAAGCTCACTGTGGCCCTGGAATAACACAGGGACTTGGTTTCCCCACCGGCCCCATATGGAGTAGGAGTTGCGTGAATGGGAGTTGGGCCTCATCCTCTCTGGGCTCACTCCTGCCCTAACCTAGTTGTCTGAGCCTCAGATGCCACCAGGGGCCAGGCACTCACATAGGGGTCCAGGAGCAGGCTGGTGCGCTGCATGATGTCCGCCTGCTTCTGGAGCTGCCCAAGCAGCTCTTGGTACTTGTCCAAACAGCTGCCCATGGCCGGCGTGCTCAGGAACAGGAGTCCGAGGACCAGACCTGGGGCGGAGAAGGGAGGGGGTGTCACCTGACTTGGGGAGGTCAGGGAGGCCACCCCCAAGGGCCTCAGAGGGCATAGCCCATCGTCTCAGGCTTCGTGCTGTCGAGGGTGGGGCTGGGCCCTGTGTATGCGCTGTAGCACCTGCTGGGGCCACCACCACCTCCCCAGTGAGTCACTGCCCAGCATCCAGAATAGTGGCTGGGCTTCACCAAGCAGGCCCTTGAGAGGAGTTCCTGTGCCTGCCAATCTTGCCAACCTCAGGATCTGATGCAGGGCAGCCCAGGTGGGGCTGCTCTCTGCAAGACCTCTGGGCCAAGACCCTGGGCTCCCCTGTCACAGACCCTGGCATTCTGTGCAGGTGGGCTCAGCCTGGGAGCAGCCTGGTGCCCGGAGCCATGCCTGCACAAGCCAGAGCGGCTGCCAGCACTGGCCAGCACTGTCCTCGACCTCGTGCACCTTCCTCTTCTCTCCATTAGTGGCCACTTCTATCATGCCCACCAGGGATGCTATGAGCCAGGCTGTTTGGGGTTGGGGGGGCATAGTTACTGCTTGGCAGCCTCCCCACACCCACCCCCCAGGCACCGGCAGCCATGTGGTCGGAAGGGGCCTGTGGCGCAATGGCCCGGAAGGCGGTGACACCATGTTCCCTTCCTAAGAACCGTTCAGCCCCTTGGGGAAGACGCTGCTGGGGACGGCTGAGGGGCTGGCCACCCAGGCACTGAGACCACAGGGCACTCCTCGCTACCTCCCCAGGTATCTGCAGCCGGGTTGGGCGGGGTGGGGGTGGGGTTCCATGTGAGCGCTGTGTGCACGTGGGACTAGGGTGTCTTCATGGGTGTGTGTCCAGGTCTGAGTGAGGCAGAGGAACGAACTGGCTGCACACAATCGCTGTGCCCAGCCCACCCTGGGGGCCCAGGCTGCATGTGGGGGTTCCCAGGTTGGTGAGATTGAGGGCTCTGAATGACATCACGTGGCTCTGTGTACATGTCACCCTGTGGGTGTGGCTATGCGTGCTGTGTGATTATGTGGGCTCCAGGGTCCCCGGGCCTGGCGGACTGCGTCTCTCCATCCCAGACTCTGTGAATCAGAGCAAGAAGGAGGCCTCACCGCCCCTCCAGACATCACACTGCTTTCCTGCTCAGCTTCTGCAGCTTCCTCCTCTGCCCAGCACGGCACCCACCTCCCTCCTGCTTGCCTGGCTTCTCCCTCAATCTATCCCCTTTCCTTATTCTCTTGCTCTCGCAGTCGCCTCTATATCACCTCCCCTTAGAAGCCTTCCAGGGATACTCCTTCTCTACCCCGTGAAGATGCTGTGTTCTCAGTGGACCACTTTCTTTGCTGACCTCCCGGCTCTCTCCCCTTCTCAGCATCCTTTTGGTGCCTGGCCTTCCCAGCTCCCGAAGGACAGAAGGTGCCCCTGCTCCCCGCTGGTGCCCGTGGGCACAGCAAGCGGGTGCTGGTGGAGAGGAAGGAAGTACTTACTGGGCAGCGTCCTCTGCATAAGCTGTGCCCGCATGCTGGGTGCCCAAGCTCCGGCCGGCGCCTGCTGGGGGTGACACCTCCTGGCTGGGAGCCCTGCGGGCTGGCAGCCACTTTATGCCCGCCAGGGCGATTGGCCAACACCTCGTGAGGTGGGTGGGGAGGGGGGGGGAAGGGCAGGCCTTCTGGGAACATGACCCCAAAAACCAAAGTTTCCACGGGCGGCCAATGGGCGCTGGGTGCGGTGGCAAACTGCTCCTCCTCCTGTTTTCTTCGAATTCGTTCTTCGAGGTCAGCCCCACGCCCAAGGATGATGCAAACCGCAGCCTCAGCCTTCCTGGGGTGAGCAGGGAGCAAGGGGGTCCACGCCATCTGCAGGGAGCCGTGCCCAGGATAGAGGGGAGAGTGTGCCAACTGGGTCCTTGGAGGGCCCGCAGGCCAGGCTTGGCCCAGGAGCCATCGGCCTCACAAGCCACTGTGGTTTGGGGCTGAGGGGAGCGAGACATCTTCCTTCTTGAGTGCCCTTCCTGCCCTCCTGCCAGGGCTGTTGGGACATCTGTGAGCGGAAACCACCGGGCTCTGGGCACAGAGCCAGACCCAGGCTGGCAGCCCCGAGATTGTGGTTCTGGCCCCAGGACCTGCATCCCCCATTGGGGCTCCCAGCCATCTCCTTTCTCCCATCATGCCCCCCGCCCCCCAGCAATCAGTCTTCCTTATCCCAGGCCCATAGCCTGCAGCCAGGCCCTTTCTTTACAGACAGGGTCCTCTGGGGGGAAACAAGAGACACAGGAAATTAGGGTTCAAGCCTGCTGACATGCTGTGTGACCAGAGGAAAGTCACTTAACGTCTCTGGGCCTCAGCGGCCCCACCTGTAAAATGAGGATTCGAAAAGCATTTCCTGGGCCAGGCTCTTAGTGCTGCCACTGTCATGAACATAAAAGGCAAAAGTCCTTTGAAGGAAAAAAGAAAGACGAAAGTCTAATTCCAAGTACTAGCTGTTGAGGGGTAGTGTGGGGGGCAGAGGAGATGGGGAAGCTGTGAGCTCAGAGGGGAAGCCAGGGTGGGGGAGTCACCGTGGTGACGGTTGGGGACCAGGTTTCACTTTCTCTGAAAGATAGTGATTGTGGTTGGTCCTCTGCTCCTCGCAGACCTCTGGACGTCAGAGTGAAGGAGCTCTGGAGACCACGCCTCTCTAGTCAACCTGTTACTCTGCTTCGGGTAAAGTGAGGCCTGGGCTAGGGCAGACAGGGAGGCGGAGAGGCCGCCCCGGCATATCTACCAGGCCTGGAAGAGGGTCCTTGGCCAGCCTCAGGAGTCCAGTGGGGAGGAGAGCCTCAGGAGCCCGGGGAACCAGGGTGAGACCCCTGGAAGCTTCCAGCTGGGGAAAGCATTGGGCCTGTGGAGCCTAGACAGGAGAGCTGAGGGAGGGTCAGACACCCTCCTATCCATCCCTGTCCCCGACACCCATCCTGACCACCAGGGCTGTTCCCACCTGCTCTCTCCTCTGCAGACACGTTCACCATTACTCATTTATTTGTTCAATGAACTTTTATTTGGCCCTACTCTGAGCCAGCCACTCCCAAGGATCCCGTAGTGGGCAAAGCCAGACCCCCCCCCCCATGCCCAGGAGGCTGTTCCTCGCCTCCCACCCACTCCCTGGCACCTCAGCATGGAGCTCACCACACCCGCCTTTGCCACCCCCGAGGGCCAGTTCTGGATTCTCCTCCTGAGAACGTCGCTTCTGCTCAATTCCTCATCCCTGTGCCCACCCCCGCAAGACCATTTTCTGGGGCCCATGCCAAGCTGGGATCCTTCTTCATTTCACAGCCCTGATCTCATCATGCAACAGCGCTGAAAGGGAGAGCTCCCGGGCAGGGATGCTTTGGCTCCCTTTCATGAGGCAACTGAGAAGCTCAGGGCCAGGCTCTGGGCTGGAGAGCTACGACTGGCAGGAGAGCTTCTTGCCCCTCTCAGCTACTGCGGACCACCCTCCACACTTGGGGGGAAGCTACATGCCTTTGCTTTCCCCTGCATCGCCCTGGGTGGGAACAGTTAAGACGAGGGGGCGTCCAAACCCGGGCTGTCGAGTCTGAAAGACCACATTCGGAGGGCGGTGTGCAGGCCCCAGGGCCAAGGGCCACCAACGGCAAAGAGGACTTATATATTCATCTACTCGTGCTGCCGTAACAACATAGCACAGACAGGAGGACTGAAACGACAGAAATGTATGTTCCCACCATTCTGGAGCTAGAAGTCTGAGACCAAAGGGTCCGCAGGGCCGATATCATCCTGCAGCCTCTCTCCTTGGCTCGTAGATGGCTGCCTTCTTGCTGTCTCCTCACATGGTTGTCCCCCTGTCTGTGTGTCTGTCCTAATCTCCTCTTCTTAGAAGGACACCAGTCATATTGGATTAGGCCTCATTGTACCTCACCTCTTTGAGGGGGACCCTATCTCCAAATGCAGCCACATTCTGAGGTACTGTGGGGGTAGGTCTTCAACACAAGAATTTAAGGGATAAAATTCCACCCATAACGGCTTGCAAGAGGAGGGCATGCTTGGAGGGCAGCAGGGAGTGAGGACCATGGGGGAGTGTCCAGAGCTCGGTGGGAGGGGACAGTGATGTGCCCGAGGACAGGGAGTGGCCCCAAGGTGAGGAGACCCGTCTGGCCAACCGAGCAAAGCATGAGGGGAAGATGCGTCAGCGTTTCTGGTGAGGTCAGCGCCCAGTGACGTCCCTCTCGCCAGCAGGAAGGGCTTGCAACACGGCCCAGCCAGTATAAATAGGCTCCCCGACCACAGGCCCGGGCTGTCCCCTCTTCCCGGGGCCACGTCAGCTGGGTCCACGTGATTCGGAGGGGGAAAGAGGACTGGCTTGGTTCCTCAGAACTACTGTTCCCCTGTCTTTCTGGCCCACCCTCCGCCTGTGGGGCTCTACTGCTTTAAATGCAAGAACAGGACCTGGGGTGGCCTGGGAGTGGGTCAGAATTGGAGGAAGGAGGCCACTCATCTGGGAAGAGAGACAGTGAGTGACCCTTGACCTGCTAAGGTGGGAGGTAGACACCAACCCAGTTACCAGTCTTAATCTGCTTATGAGCCTAGTGTTCTTGGCCAATCGCATCCCTTTTCTCAGCCTCAGTTTCCCCTGTGGACTGCAGTGGCACAATTTAACAATCAAGAGACAAACAACCCAAATTTAAAATGGGCAAAGGAGGGGGCAGCTGGGTGGCTCAGTCGGTTGGGCATCCAGCTCTCAGTTTCGGCTCAGGTTGTGATCTCGGGGTAGTGAGATCGAGCTCCGTGCTCAGCGGGGCGTCTGCTGGAGGTTCTCTCTCTCCCTCTGCCCTGCACCCCGCCTCACACATGCGCTCTCTCTCTCTCAAATAAATAAATAAATCTTAAAAAAAACAAAACAAAACAGGGGCACCTGGGTGGTGCAGTCGGTTAAGCTTTTCCAACTTTTGGTTTTGGCTCAGGTCATGATCTCAGAATCCTGAGACCGAGCCCCATGTCGGGCTCCGTGCTCAGCTCGGAGTCCCCTTATGTTTCTCCCTCCCTCTCCCTCTGCCCCTCCACACCCCCCTTCGCTCTCTCTCGTGGTGTGCTCTCTTTCTCTCTCAAAAATAAATAAATAAATCTTTAAAAACATAATGAAAATAAAAATGGGCAAAGGAGAAACAAATAGATATTTCTTCAAAACAGACAAATGCCTAATAAATACATAAAAAGCTGCTCAACATCGTTAGCCATCAGGAAAACGCAAACTCAAAACCACAATGAGGTACCTCTTCATACCCCCTGGGGTGGCTGTCATTGAAGACAGACAATAAGAAGTGCTGGTGAGGACAGGGGAGAATCAGAACTCTCACACACTGCTGGTGGGAATGCAAGATGGTGCAGCCACTTTGAAGACAGTCTGGCAGGCCCCCCAACGCTTAAACATAGAGATGCCATACCTGCGGCTATTCCATGCCAACATGTACACCCCAGAGAATTGAAAACATATGTTCACACAAGAACTTGCACACAAATATTTACAGCAGCATTTATTCACAATAGCCAAAAAGCGGAAGCAACCCAAATGTCCATCAACAGAAAATGGATTTTAAAAATGTGGTCTATCCATACAATGGCATCTTATTCAGCCCCAGAAAGGAATGAGGTCCTGATACATGCTACAATGTGGATGAACCTCAAAGACATGATGCTAAGCGAAAGAAACCAGTCACAAAAGGCCACGTGTTGCATGATTCCATTTGTATGAAATGTCCAGAATAGGTAAATTCATAGAGACAGAAAGCAGACGAGTGTTTGCTAGGGCTGGAGGGGTCTCAGGACAGGGAGTAATAGCTAATGGGGATGGGGTTTCTTTTGGGGTGATGAAAGTGTTTTTGAATTAAATAGTGGGGATGGTTACACAATCTTCTGAATATACTAAAACCGACTGAATTCACTTAAAATGAGAAATTTGATAATATAGGGGCGCCTGGGTGGCTCAGTTGGTTAAGCAACTGCCTTCAGCTCAGGTCATGATCCTGGAGTCGCAGGATCGAGTCCCGCATCTGGCTCCCTGCTCGGCAGGGAGTCTGCTTCTCCCTCTGACCCTCCTCCCTCTCATGCTCTCTGTCTCTCATTCTCTCTCTCTCAAATAAATAAATAAAATCTTTAAAAAAAAAAAGAAATTTGATAATATATATTTTGTATCTCTATTTTTAAAAATGCAGCGGCAAATGCTACCTCAAGAGGACGGTGAGTGTAGTTCGGTGAATAATGCATGCAAATGCCTGGCCCACAGCTAGTCCTCCAGAAATACCCGCCAGCCAGCCAGTCACCGGGACAGACAAAGGCGCACATTTGCTTATGTCATAGCCTGGGTTTGAGAACGATTGGGAAAGATGATGTTACATAAACCCTGGGGTGAGCAAGGATCTACCAGGGCCCTCCCCATGAGGTCAGTGAGGTCACCCTAGGCTGGAGGATCCTTTGGCTGAGACCTGCTACAGAGTTCCTCTGGGACCTGGTGTGTCCATAGTGTGGGAAGCCATGTCCCCCGTGTGCCCAGTGGCTCCCCCAAATTGGGTAATTGAGCCGCCTTCCAGAGGCCTGAACACCTATTCAGGGAACTGCAACAGAGAGGGAGAGAAGGAGCTACCTTCTGTTCTCTTACTGTCTTCGACGGCAGAGGGGTTGAGGGGGTTGCATCCACTCTGAGGTGGGAAGACCAGGAGATACGAGTGCTGCCCTGCTATCCTCTCTCTGATTGGCCTAGAACAACCGTCCCCCCTCACCACCCTTTCTGAGCCCAGATTCCTCTGTGTGAGATGAGGGGACATGAGAGATGAACACAGAGGGCCTAGAACCCTACAGAGCCCCATGGGGTCCCTTAGTGGCTCTAAGCACTGAGAGGTCACTGTAAATAAAAACAACCTTAACCATTAAACAAGGATCAGGAAGCCCAATGGAGTCCTGACTTTTCTCATGATGACAACATATAATGCCTATTTTGAAACATCATATTCTTGCCAAAAATGTTCAGGTGCCCCAGACATATGTTGTTTGCCCACTGCTAAATAATCAGACATGTTTCTGGAGCTCTTCTGTGTGCCGAGACCAGTTCTGAGCATTTACTAAAGGCTAGCTCTGTGAATCCTCCCAACCATCCTCACAGAGATCATTGTCTCCATCCTGTAGATGGGGAAACTGAGGCCTGAGAGATGGGGCACTTGGCAGGAGGTCACATAGCTGGGAGGGAGCAAAGGCAAGTTTGAGCCCAGGCAGCTGTCCTCGGCCCACGTAGCTGGCCAGCACACCACACACACAGTGGCTTGCCCAGAACTGACGCAGCCCACATGGCTCAGCAAACTGGAAAACATATGGCTTTCACAGTGGGAAGATGGAGATCCACTTGGTCAAGGGCCAGCCAGGGAGTGATTGGAGGAGGAGGCTGGTATTTCTACAGGTCTGGAAAGAAAATGCCAGTTTAATTGGCAGAAATGCAGGAAAGAGATGCTACAAATTCCATGTGGAGGGAACTGCATGAGGTGCCGAGCAAGCAAGACTGCATAGGTCTAGTTTGTTTGTTTGTTTGTTTATTAAGATCTTATTTATTTGAGAGAGAGTGAGAGAGATCACAGAGGGAGAGGGAGAAGCAGACTCCCTGCTGAGCAGGGAGCCCGATGCGGGGCTCGATCCTAGGACCCTGGGATCATGACCGGAGCTCAAGGCAGATGCTTAACCAACTGAGCCACCCAGGCGCCCTGGTCTAGTTTAGAGAAAAGCAGGTGTGGCTGGAAGTCTAATGGAGAGGGAGGGAGGAAATGGGGCCACCCACAAAATGGCTTTACTGCCACAGCAGCCCCCCTGGGGGGCTTGTACAACACAGCCTGATGCTACCCTCTTGCTTAAAACAGTTCCCTGGCTTCACATTGACATTGAGTAAGGCCAAGGTCATTACCACAGCCACCAGGCCCTGCCCATCTCCCCAGCCTCACCCACACCTCTCTATCCCACCCCCTTCTCTGACCTTCCTTAGTCCCTCGGGGAAACAGAGCTCTCACCCCATGGCCTTTGCATCTGCTATTCCCATGCCTGAATCTCCTCCTACTGAATGAACTTGTCACCCAGTCCAAGCTTCACCTCTTCAGGGGAGCCCTCCCTGAACTTCCTCCACCCCAGGCTGGTCCTTGCTCCCCCCCCAAATTCCAAGAGGGTATCCGCTGTAGTTGTGGCTCCCCATGGCCTCTCCAGAGCACAGCACAGGCCACGTAATATAGTGGGTGCTCAATAAATCCTTAGTGACTGGATGAATGCACGGCCATACAGATGTGGCCATCTGTAGAAGCCCCAGGAAAGGTCAGCCGTGGCTTCCAGGCTGCAGGACCCAGATGTGTGCCTCCCACATCCAGTGTACCTGCAGCCAGGCTCCTGAAAGTGCAGGCCCACCTTGCTGCTGGCAGGAACGGGCTCTCTTGGAGCCTTTCCCATGCCTTCTCTTGGTCACCTTTCCCCAAGGAAATCAGAATTATATCACTCACAATACACCAAAGCACGTGATCTCTTTTTTTAGGAAGCTTTGATTTTAAAGACGCTGACTTTTTCCTTTATATTTTTTTAAAGTGAATTCAAAATATATTCTTTCACCCACTGCAGATTTCAACACTTTCCTGGAACACAAGCTGAAAAAGAAAAAGACAAGGCATTTCTCCTACTTCCTTTATTCACTTCAGAGTGAATTCCACATAAGCAGCACCTGACAGCCTCATAGAAAGAAGCCTTCACTGGAGGGGACAATCCCGCATTTTGCAAAAACAGACAAAGCATGGTGGCTTTTCCTCATTCAACCTATATTTAAGTAATTCACTGTATGTGTCAGGCACCAGGATCAGCAAGAAAGACTAGGCTTTTAGGTAAGTGAAATTGCTGTGAATGCCTTTTTATATCCAGGTCTTAAAGGGTGAATAAACACACAAGCCAACATCGAGCATGTGGAGGGATCTGGAAACCCACCGTTTGTCAGCCTGCTCATTTCTCACCCCAGGCCATAGGAGGGAGCACCCAACCCAGCCTGGCCTTTATAGTACCCTGGAGTCTAGCACTGCACCTGCATCCTGAGCAGAACCAATCAGAATCCGTCCCCAAGACTGATGCCAGACTCAGGAAACAGGCCTCCCTTACACGGCCAAGGCTTCAGAGCTGGGATGTCACCAGTCTGGAGCTGGGAAAAGTCACTTTCCCCAGCTCCATGGGGTGGGGTGCGGTCCTATCAAGTGGGTGAGAACGTGGCCGGCACAGCCAGAGAGGCCAAGCAACCTCCCTGAGCCCCTGGTCTCTGCCTGAAGCCAGGACTAACCCCACAGCTAGTCCCAGCTATATAGGACAATGATGTCAGCCTATTTTCTGCTAGTTGAGCTGGTTTCCTGGCACTTGCAGTGGGGAGTCCTTTGAGCTGCACCAGTATGAGGATGGAAGCAGGAGGGGTGGAGGGGATGGAGGGAGGAAGTGGGATGGGCTTGGAGCCTTCTCTTGGTGCCAACTGCTGCAAAAGCTCAGAGACTTTGCTCAACAGAGAAAGCAACTGGAGAAAAGATGGAGGGAACCAGCCAGGGTCCCCATGGGGCTGTCTACAAATGATAGCCCTGGTCCCAAAGGGAAGTCCAGGACACACAGGTGGGACTCACTAGCAGGGATGCCTGGAAGAAATGACCTGGGACAGGTGCTGTGAAAGACCTGCCTTCTTCCCCTTCTTTTTCTTGGGAAGATGCCAAGGAAACTCTGGGTGTTTATCTTGATAAGAAAAAAAGAAACACGGGGCGCCTGGGTGGCTCAGTCGTTAAGCGTCTGCCCTCTGCTTGGGTCATGATCCCAGGGTCCTGGGATTGAGGCCCGTGTTGGGCTCCCTGCTCAGCAGGAGGCCTGCTTCTCCCTCTCCCATTCCCCCTGCTTGTGTTTCCTCTCTCACTGTGTCTCTCTCTGTCAAATAAATAAAACCTTTAAAAAAAAAAAAAAAGAAACAGGGGCACCTGGGTGGCTCAGTCGGTTAAGCGTCTGCCTTTGGCTTATGTCACGATCTCAGGGTCCTGGGATCGAGCCCCTCACCAGGCTTCCCTGCTCAGCAGGGAGCCTGCTTCTCCCTCTCCCTCTCCCTCTGCCCCCACACCCCAGCTGTGCTCTCTCTCTCTCAGATAAATACAATCTTAAAAAAAAAAAAGAAAGAAAGAAACATCCTGCAGCTCCAAGGGGAGAAAAGGCCATCAAAGCTTGCTCTGTCCAAAGGCCTACTGGTGGACATTCAATGGGTGATGGAGAACGTGGCCAGCTGGGGCCAGGTCACCCTGTCCACAGAGCAAGCATGTAAGGAAGGAAGAGAAGCAGAATATGGCAGTGCACACAAATGTTGGGCGCCCCCACATTAATAGCCAAAGGTGGGAACCCAAATGTCCATCAACAGATAATGAATAAAAAAAAGTGGTACGTCCATACAATGGAATGTTATTCAGCCACAAAAAGAATTGAAGTACTGATACATGCTACCACCTGGATGCACCTCAAAAACATCAGGCTGAGTCAAACAAGCTAGAAGCCAAAAGTCACATAGACCCCATCTACGTGAAATGTCCAGAACAGGGAAATCCACAGAGATAGAATGCAGGTTGGCGGTGGCCAGGGGCTGGTAGGAAGGGGAATGAGGAGTGACTACATATGGGGTTTCCTTTTGGGGTGACGAAAACGTTCTAGAACTATACAGGTGGTGGTTGCACAACATTGTGAATGTGCTAAATGCCAGGGAGCTATTCACTTTAAAATGGTCAGTTATGTATTATTTGACTTTCACCTCAATTGAAAAAAAAAAAATTTTTTTTTAAGGCAGAGCTTAAAAACAGGGCAACTCCAGGAAAACCAAGGGGCTGGAAAGCAGCGAGTCGGCTACAAGGGGTCCAGAGAGAGTCAGAGGCTTCTCACAGCCCCTCCTGTTACTGCTTGGTTAGCGACTGTCCTGGAGCTCTTTCTTGCTCATTGACTTAGAGAAGGCTCAGCTCAACTTCAAAGGCCGGGGCATGTCAGCTCAGGACAGGGTCTGGCAGCTGTCCCAGGAAGAAGGTCCCAGCTCTGGGGGAGAGCAAGTCTAAGGCAAGGCCCAAGAGCAGAGTAGCCGGAAGAGCTGTTGCGGCCAGGAGGTCTCAAAGGCAGACCTCCCGAGCAAGGGTCTACCCAAGGCCAATGATCAGGGAGGGAGGGGATACAGTAAGATTTTGCTGAGGAAAATTCACTTGTGCAGCCAGATGACAGGGAGACCAGCAGGAAGCCTGAAGAAGCACAGGTGAGGACAACTGTGGGCTGAATCAGGACCCTGGGAAGTGGGGAAGGCCAGGCCGTGGAGGACGGAGGAGCTGGGAAGCTGGTAGTAGGGGCAGGGGGAGGTGTCGATCTCTCTGTGTCACGGCGGAGGGCCCAGACTGAGGGGCAGAAAGCCAGATCAGGCTTGCTTCAGGCTGCAGACAGAAGACGAGGGACAGAGGAGGAGTAGACAGAAAGGTAGGAGGGAGTCTGGGGAGGCTGAGGCAGCTGGGGTGGAGGTCGAAGGTGGAGGGGTGGAGTTAGGGAGCACCCAGCACAGCCCAGCAGTCCCCTGGTGACCGCAGCAAGCTGGGCTTCCTGAGATTAGGGAGAGGCCGGAAGGCCCGGGAGGATGTGGGTCCAGAGAAGGAAAGTGGACAGGAGGGTGCACACGGACACACATGTGAACACGAAAACACCAGATGCAGATGCATGCACTGGCACATGCGGACATACAGAAACTGCCCCACCACAGACAAGAGCAGATGCACAGCCACCAGCACCACCCACGTCCACATGCGCACAAACAGGCACAGATGCCTCGGACCACGCATACACGGGACGCATGCAGAAATGGAGCCAGGCACACAGCTGAGGTTCGGACGAAATCGGATGCACATCTAGCTGCAGAGGCACGAGGACACACTGGGACACATGGACACGGACACCCGTGAAACATTCACAGCCATATCGGCATCATGACCAATGCCCCCCCAAGAAGGTAGCTCCGGGCACCCCCATCTGAGGCACCCTTGGCTCCAGAACCCCAGCACCAGGGCCCGCCTGGGAAAGTGAGACAAACCACGGCCATTGCCCAACACACCCACTGGGCCCAGCCCAGGGCCAGGCCTCGCGTGCCTGCCCACACATTCACTGCCACCGACGCAGACAGCTGGGATTGCGAGGGATCTTGCAAAATCATCCCCATCCCTCAGGGTTCAGCTAAAGTGTCCCTTCCCCCGGGGGCCCTCCCCAGGCTATGGCCCCAGTTAACCTTTCTGCATTCGGGTTTTGCCATGCCCAGCTCTGTGACCTTGGGCAAGTCCCTCCACCTGTCTGTGCTTAAGTTTCCCCTCATGTAAAGTGTGGGGGGATAACGAGAACGTGCGAGAACGTGTGTTGAATACATGAATGACTGGAGCACATCCCTTCCCACCTCTTGTACAGATGGGGGAATCAGCTTCCCTGGACTCAGTCAGCTAGCTGCAGATGGGGCTGCCCTCCTGCCTCCTGCCTCCTGCCTGGTCCCTTCCCACCCTGTGGGATCTTGGAGCCAGGTGGGACATCCAAGAGGGTATGTATGGGTTTATTCTCCCTTCTACACAGGACCAAGAAGCCAGCTTTAGAGCAACTTGGCAACAAGCATGGGACCATACAGCCTGCCTGGCAGGGGTGGGGATGAGGACTTTAAACCCTGAATTTCTGCTCAAATAACTTCAAGGACTTACAAGGTCATTCCTCTGTATGGGCAGGTAAAATCTGGAGAGGGTAGACATGAGCCACTGAGTGTCCCTGCCTGAGCTTTCCTCATCTCCCGTCCCCATCCACCCAAGAGCCCCCCCACCCGACCCCACAGGTTCACATCCTCCCAGCAGATAGGAGAGCTGACAGCACCTTTCTACTCCTCAAGGGACTGTGGGCAGGGCCTTCCCCAGGCAAAGGCTTCCATCTTTATGAGGATGGGCACTCGGGCTCTGCAGTCTGGGGCCTTGACCCTTGCACTCAGGAATGGCTGTGCTGATGTGGACAGGTGGACAGGGGAGCCCAGATTTGGAAGAACAAGGACGTGGACTGTGTGCCAGTGAACACCCCCAACCTTAGTTATGAATGACCCAAACTGAGCCCAAATCCGGGCTGCCCAGACTGAGTTCTTTGGTTCTAGAACTCTCCAGGGACAAGCCACCTGAAACCCACTCTGCCTTCTGGGACAAAGGGGTGGGACAAAGAGGTGATTCTGTGAGCCTCCACCTCAGCCTGGGACAGCTTAAAGCCTGTCTATCTGATGGCACCCAGAGCATTAGACAAGTGTGAGATCCAGGGTCACGTCCCACTTTCAGCTGAGTGTGCCCAAGTCACCTCCTAAGCCCTGTGCCCTGACCCCTGGTGGGTCCTGGGGTCCCTGGCAATCCCAGAGCAGATCTCCCCATTTGTAACCTGTTGATGGCCAAGCTGACCCAGTGACCCCCAAGGACCCTAATGCCCTGGGAGCTAAAACCCCTCCACATAGACTCACACTTATGTGGCAAAGACACACACGGGCTCTAGGCCTGGGTCCAAGTCAGACTAGCCCGCTGGGGCCCTCTTACCCAGGCCAATCCTGTGGGCAGTACCAAGAACCAATGCCAGATTAGGACCTGGTTTGAGGGACTAGGCAAAGCCTGATCCACCCGGAAAGCCAGGATAACAGAAACACCCGAATCAGGCAGTGACTCACAAGCAGACAGATGGACAGACGCCCCAGAGCTGAATATGGGGCCCAGGAGCTCTCTACCTGCAGATCAGGAGCCCCAAGGATTCTGGTTCTAAAGCCCCCACTTAGCTCAGGACAACTTTTGAGCCAGGGCCCAAGGTGTGCCCTCCAGAGAGAAGCCAGAACTCCCTCTTCCCCCGAAAGTCAAACTACAAAGCAATGATCCCTTCCCAGCACCAAGAAGTAGAGAGGTCCTGAAGGAGCTGCCTCCTAGACCTTGATACACATGAGGAAACGGAGGCTGAAGGGAAGGGGTTGGCCTAGGGTCCCCGACTGCTCACTCACCGGGCTGGACTGTGTGCTCTGTTCCTGTGATCTGCAGACCCTGAGTTCCCAGGGGCAGGACGGGCACACTGCCAGAGGCCTGGTCCCCGTTCTGGCTTTTCTGGGGAGCTACTACGACCTCTGAATACGCCGAAGTCACACCCTTCTTCCCTTCCTAAGTGCGGGCGGGTCTGGGCTGAGGGTACCTGATAACCTCCCCGGGACATCTATAGGGTCCCATCTGGCTCACAGTGGAATCCCGGTCTCACGGAGCGAGGAGGCAGCCCCTCTGTGACAGGAAACCCATCACTGGCCCAGAACGGTAGCCTTTGAAGGCAGAGTGGGTTTCAGGTGGCTTCCAGGCCCCTGTCCTGTCCTTCTAGCCAGAGGAAGCCCAGTGCCTGAACTTCCAGGTCCCCACTCTGGCTGGCCCCCTCCCACTACTACTCCAGGAGAGCCCTGGCGACAAGAACTAACTGATCTCTTGGCCAACAGGGACTCCTGTGAGGGACCTCTAGGACTCAGGCATGGCCCAAAAGCAAGCAGGCAGCAGCCTGGAAGAAGGGTGCTTTGGGGCCCTCCTTGAGGGGTTTCACAATAGGCCAGTCACACTCAAGGTGGCAGGGAAGGCTGGGGGACCTCCAGGCAGGAGGGTCTCTGAGTCTCTAACCATGTTCAGAACTTTCTGGGCTATTCCAGAAACAGCAAGGAAGGAAGAAAGAGGCTGGGCTTCAGAGGCAGGTAGCCCTGGATGGGAATCAGGTGACCTTGGCTAAGTCACTTCCCTTCTCAAAGGTTCAGTTCTCCCGGAGGTGAGAACTGAGTTAGGTGAGCCCAGCCAGAGCCAGCTACATAGGGACAGACCAGGACTTCAGGCAGAGGGGCTGGGAGGAGCCGAAGAGCAGCCATGCCCGAGCTCAGACAACCCCCATGGACCACAGCCCAACCCTTCATAACTACAAGCCCTTTATTAACAAGTCAATAAAAAAGGGAGAAAGATGTAAAAATACTTTTCTCAGAGGCCCCCCAGAGGGGCAGGCACTGTCAGAATCAGCTGGCCAGGGAAGGCAACCCAGCCAGAGGCAGAACGGAAATCAGGGCCCTGTCCGGGGAGCAGCTGGCCCGGGGCGCTGAGAGGGGGGATGGCTCGGACCTCAGGCAGGGAATGTGCAAACGCTGAGGCCGCGCAGGGAGTGATGGGGTGAGGGGTTCCCGGAGGAAGCCCAGAGCACCGTGTTCCCCTGTGTGGGCAGACACGCGTGTCCACGTGAGAGCCGGTGCCTGCACGCAGTTTACGTACAGAGAGCAGAAGAAGGGGGTCCCCCGGCAGGAATGGGGGTGGGGAGGGCTCATCCCAGAGCTTGAGGAAATAGCTTAGAGAAGTCTCTGGAAGCCTGGGGTGAAGGGAGAGCGTGGAGGCCTCAGGAGCCCTGGCCATCCTGCCGTCGCTGGAGGACCTCAATGACACTCCCGATGCCATCCTCAGGCACCTGTGGGCAGGTGGGCAGAGGGAGCGGTCAGGGCCACGCCGACCTCCTGGCCTAGATGGACTTCATCCTGCACCCTCCCCACCCTCCTGGGCCTCAGTGTCCTTCCAGGAGCCCAACCCATGGCGCTCACCAGGGCATGGTCAAAGTTGAAGGTGCTGATGTAGTAGGCAGAGATGTCGGCCGCAGCCAGGGGGCCTGCGATCTGGGCCACGATCCCACACTCATCTGAGGGTTATGGGGGCGGGGAGGGGAGTCCATGTGGATCATCCTGGCCGCTCCCCCAGGTCCTCCCCAAGTCCCCAACATACAAGAAGCAACCCTCACCAAAGCCCAGGGGCTGTCCACCGATGCGCACCATTCTCCACAGCTCTCCTGAGGAGCTGGTCAGCAGGAGGTCACTGGGGAACCTGGAGAGGCAGGTGGGTAGTGGGCACAGCACCCACCCGTCCCCTCCTTTCCCCATTGTGAGCCTCTGGAAGCAGGGGGACCTGGTGACCTCAGAGTTTGACACTCTACCTCCTCCCTCCCTAGGGCTGGGCTTGGGCTCTGTGGTCCACAGGGCTCAGGAGTCACATACTTTTTCTGCGTCTCAGCGTCCATGACGATGGAGATGTAGCCCTCGATGAGGGAGAAGGCAAAGAATGTAATGGAGCTGGGTCCAGTACCACCAGAGGCTGCTTCCTTGGGGGCGCTGGAAAAGGACAGGAGGCTCAAGTGCTCTTCGGGGCACCCAGCCCACTGTGTCTCCTCCCTTCTCTGGGCCACTTTCCTCCCCTGTCTGAGGGCCCTGATCTCCTGATGGTGTCAGGGGAGAGGACAATGAATCTCGCCTCCTCCAAAGACACTGGACCCCAGGGTTGGCAGACAGCCAGACCAAAGCATGGCTCAGGGTGATCTCAGTTCACACTACAGGAAAGGGCTGAAGCTGTGGCATCGGGATCTTCCCTGAACATCAGTGAGGGGCACATGGGCATTGCAGGCTGCCAGGAACCCAAGACACAGAACAGGGCACAGAGTGGCAGAACTGAGGGACGCGCAAAAGGTGTGAGCACAGAGGGACATGCAGAAGGTGGTGGGACACAGCATAGGGAACAACGGTGTGAGGACAAAGAGACAAGGTGCAAACGAGGCCCACCTGTATGAGTAGAAGAGGACATCGATGAGCGTGGTAGCGATGGCTGGCAACGTCTCAGGGTCCAGTGTGAGGACACAGAAGCGGTTCTGTGGGCTCTGGATGGGATGCACGGTGGGGCTAGGCCCTGTTAGGAGGGACCAGGCAGCAGCTGTCAGGGCGACTGTGGGCTGGGGCGCCCCCTGGTGGCCAGATAGGGAGGAGCCTGGGTGGGGTGTAGGGTCAGGCTCTACAGGAACCCACCTCTTTCCTCCACCACATCTCCCTATCTTGTGAGGCAGTCAGTGTCAGTCAGCTGGTATCACGCCTCACAAGGGAAGGGCCCCAGTGGGAAGAGGAGGCCCTGCCTAGATCTGGGTGTCAGAGGGTAGCCTCACCATGCTGAGAACGGGGAAAACCATTGCTGGAATCATCCCTGGCAACAGGCACAGGCTCCCCGCCCACTTCTCGGTAAATGTCGAACTCCTGGGAGAGCGTGTGGATCACCACGGACAGGTCCTGTTCCCGCACCTGGACCACAGGGGGATGACGTATCACATGAGTCCCCAGGCATGCCCACCCTGCCCCACACTGGAGCCTGCCAAAAACTCACCAGGATGAAGTCCGTCTGGTAAGTGGACAGCATCAGCACAGACACATGGTGCTCCGCCAATGGCGCAATGACTGAACGGGCAATTTTGGTGACCCCAGCAGCCTGCACAGCTGCACCGCTGTGGGATGACACGTTCAGCACCAGCCATGTGGCCTCAGCCACTTGAAGGAACTCAGATGGGGGTAGCTCTGCGAGTAGGAAGTATACACCAGGTCAGGGCCTATGGGGCTGGCCCCTACCCCTCGTTTGTCTGTGCTGGGGGTGGGGGGATGGGGTTCTACCAAGGTAAGGGTGTGGAGACTGGGGCTGTCTCCCTCTCCCAAGTTCTGCTCCTAAGAACTGCATGTATGCAAGGACTGAGAAGTGCTTCAGGTGCTGGCCTGCTAGGGATGGAAACTTCCCAGTTAAGACTGGAGTTCCAGATTCAGACAGACCTGGGTTCAAATCCCAGCTTCACCATTTACTTGCTGTTGACCTGGGGTAAACGATTTAACTTCTCTGAATCTGTTTCCTCATCTGTAAAATGGGATGAGAGCATATACCTCATGATAGCGTTCCGTGGTTAAGAGGTTTTTATACCATGTGGCACCACCAGGGGGCGCCAGCAAATAAGGCTAGCTGAGGGATGCCCCTCTCCCTCCGCAGACCTAGACTTTCCTGCAGTACAAACAGGGAAATGAAGGCCTGAAGGGCTGCAGTAGAGGATGGGCCAAGCCTCAGTTTTGTGGCCTGAGGCTCCAGGCCTGTGAGGAGGGGTCAGGCTGGCAGGAGCGGGAGCCAGATGTCAGCTTCAGAGACCAGGGAGGAACCAGGCTGGCGTCCAGTCCAGAGCAGGAGCCAGGGCCTGGGTGGCTGCTAATCTCCCAACTGCAGCCAGGAGGCCCCCCAGGACCCTGACGTGGGCTGGCTGCCTGCTCCTGCATTCCTTTCCCAACCCTCAGACTCCTGGAGTTCCCAGACCAGCCAGGGAGGGGGTGATCAGCACCAGAGAGATAAGTCCAGGGAGAAATAATGGCCAGGGGGATATAACTGCCACAGGAACCTCTGATTCTTGCCCTGAACTGTCACTGAGGCCCTGCCACTGGCCTGAGGCTGCTAAGTGCCCTTCACAGCCCTGTCTATAAAGTTCTCATGGGACCCTATTAATAGAGAACCATAACTATACCCATTTTACAAAGAGGAAGTGACTTGCTCAAGGGCACACAGCCAGTCAATGGCAGAGTCGAATTCGAACCCAGACCCATCTACCTTCAAGGCCCCAGCTCTTGCGATTTTGGAACCCAGGATCTAGTGAGAATCCCACAAAGAGGGGAGCACGACATCCTTCCCCAGCCCAGCCCCCACCTTTGAAGCCCTCCTCGTCCACCATGAGCGTGTAATCCTCTGGGGTCTCCGTCAGGCTGAAGAACTTGCACCTGGATGGGGGTGGGGGGCATCTTCAGCCTGGGTTGGGCGGAGGGGGCGGGCAGGACTTCGCTCCAGTTCGCCCAGAAAGACCCCTGCTGGGCGCCTCCCTGCCCCCTCAAGCCTCAATTTTCTCACCGGGCCAGTGGGGTGTGGGCCTCATCACCGGAATGACGAACTGTTTTTCGCCTCCCGACCTCTGTAGGAGCTCCCGACCCTCCATGCCGGGAAGGAGGAGAGGCTCACCCGCGACTACAGCCCTGGGGGAGTCGGACTTTGGGCCCCCTAGACCAGCTCCTCTGACCCGATGGGAAGCGTCTGGAAGAAGCTCCCCGCAGTCGCCAGTTGAAGGAATTGCCCCCATTTGACACCACTTGGAGTTAAGCATTGCTCATCCCAGGTTGTTTGCGCCTTAACTGGCCCTGGGAGGGGGCCTCACGGGGCCGGATAGGCGGCGGTCCCAGGGAGGGTAGGCCCAAGCCGGATGGCGGCGGGGGGGGGGGGGGGGTAGGGAGGAGAAGCGCCCCCCCCACCCGCTCCCGCTCGCCCCGCGGCGATGTTAATCTCCCGACCCCGTCCCGGAGCAACAGCGGAACCCACCCCCACCTGTGCCCCCGAACCCGGGCGCGCACCGGCTGCGGCGGGGCAGGAAGAGTAGCTTGATGAGCGGGTGGGTGTAGAGCCAGAGACCTGGGCGGGCGAGGCTCAGCACCCGCACCCGGTGCTCTAGGATGTGCAGCTCCATCACAGTCCGCGCGGACCCGACCCCGCCGCCTACTAGACCCAGGCCGCCGCCGGGGGCGGGGCAGTGGGGGCGGTGCCGGGAGCTTAAAGGAGCCGCTGCGCGGCCGCGTCCATGCCGCCAGCTACGCTGCGGACCCTCCCAGCCCCACGCCGCGTCCACTTCCCTGACAGCCACGCCCTGAGGGGCGGGCGGCCTATCCAAAGTGGCCACGCCTCCTTCTTAAGGTCAGCGCCTCATCCCTCCCGTTCCAGCCCGCCGAGCCCCGCCTCTAATGACTCCGCCCCTTTAGCATTGGCTCGGGGGTCACAGGCTGATCCCAACCCGCTGGAGTCCTCCTGGCCCCGCCCATGCCGCGCCCCCTCTCTGGGGCTCCGCCTTTTCCGCAGGTCTCCTCTCTCGCTGGGATCGGAAGCCGATGTGGAGGAGGGAAGTGTGGAATGGCTTCTGTCCTTCAGTCTTGTGATTGATATCCTTGAAGCTCCGAAGGGCCGCGAGACGAACCGGGGCTCAGCTGGGACCAGAGTGCTGACCAGAAAACTCTGGAGTATGGAGGGGTAGGAGTAGGCTGTGCAGCCCCGGTGACTCTGATTCTCTCCCAACAGTATCTTACCTTTCTCCCTCCTTCCCCTTATGGAGGAAGAAGGCGCCTACCCACGAGGATCACAGAGATAGGGAGGGCCCCAGACACTTACATCTGAATAACATACTGTGGGGTAGGGGATGGAGGTGGCCAGGCTTATGGCTTGAGATCCTTCAAGACTAAGTGCTTGGGCCAGGGATGCTCAAGGCCCAGACTTCAGAGGACAGGCCCATGTGTCTGGGGCTCACTGGGTAGTCAGATCTCAGACCTGAGATTTGAACCCTGTTGAGGCCTCCCAAAGCCTGCAGCCATTAGCAGAACCCAGCTGGCCTGAGCACATGTAAACTTGCTTCATGCCCACGGAGGCCCCCAGCACTGGCAGATGCCCCAGATCTGAGGCTTGTTAGACCAACTTGGGCTCATTTCAACATTAGAACTGGGTTCTGCTCAGGCCGCCTCAGGTTTAAGAAGACTCCAAGGCTAAGCAGGTATCAGCACACCTAGGCTGGCCCTGTAGCAGGACAGACAGAGCATGCTCTGGAGGGTCTTTGGCCCTCAGGCTTCAGATCTAAGGCTTGGAACCAAACAGGTTAAAGCCGGCCACAGGCCTGACTGGGACCCAGCAGGCCTACACAAGCCTCCTGCCTGCTCAAGAACCTCTACTGTAGGCGGATGGAAGCTGGGCAGCACCCTCCCTCCCTTGACTCTCTGGCTCAAGGGATTCCTGTGGAACACTGCAGCTGCCACATCCTGGCCTGTCCCCTGGAGAGCCAGGGGGAGGGGACTGTCCTCAAAGCCTCTCATGGCAGGTACAGATGGGGTGGGAAAATACAGGGGTGAGAGGTGGGAGGCAGGAAGTGGGTAGCCTGCCCTGATAGGCTCATATGACACTTGACCTCCCTAGGCCTCAGTATCCCCAGCTGTACCAGGACAAGATGTTCCAGGCCCAGGCTCTGTGATGCCTGAAAACTCCTAGGGAGTTCTCCTCCCTCTCCCACCCCCTTCCACCATGGCCCAGCCCAGCTTGGTAGCCTGCCAGGAACAGCCGCTATTGTTTGACTGGAAAAGCTGCTTCCTCAGCAGAAGGGGGGGGCCTTTCCCAGGGACACCCTGTCCTCACTCACCAGTCATCAGGTTGTGACCGCCTGGGCCCTAAGGGGCATTGCCAGGTCACCAGGCACCCTGGTCAGGAGAGGTAGCTAAGGGGTTTTAGGTGCAAATCAACCAGCTTCATCTTTCCCACTCAGCTCCTCTGTTTCCTCATCTGTAAAATGGGGATAATAGAGCCTACCTGATCAGCTGGTGACACAACCAGCCCAGCGTGTAAGTGCTCAGGAAACCGCAGGCAGCCTTCTATTAAAGACCCAAACTTCTTCCCTCATCCCTCTGTGTCCAATGGAGGCCTGGACTTAGCATGTAAGGGCATTCATGGTCCCCGACTCCTGGTGCCAGCACTCAACCCAAAATGAACACTCAGAACCTTACTGGGGTCTGAAGTGGCATCTAGGCAAGGGGACTTGGTGGAGGAAGACCCTGAAAACGCCTCCTTAAGGAAACCTCCTCTCCTTGCCCCCAGAGATGGGTAGGCATCAAGGCCTGGGAAGCAGACCCTCATCCATGGCAGACTGGTGGACACGGGGCAGAGGGGATGGGGTAAGCGAAAGTGGGGGTCAGGAACAAGGACTGGCCTATGGCAAAGGTACTTCTCAGAGAGGCTCTAGTGCTTGGCTGGGGCCAGGATGGGGGCTCTGTAGGGTAGAGAGAAGAGATGCTGAGTACCAGGGGTTCCTCCCCTTCCCAGTCCCTAGCCATACACCAACTCTCTACACAAGCCTGTTTATTTCTGTACAAAACCATGTTTCTATTTTACACAAAGAGCACCCCACCTTTTACCCCACCCTCTCTCCTCACAACAGCACCCTAGCCCTGGGAAGCATCCCCCCAGGAGGAGGGGGCTGAGTGAGGCCCTGACCATTGGCCCTCACCTCTGTCTGACCGAGCTGGGCTGGCCCATGCTCCACTCTGGAGAAAATAAATAAAAAGGCTCAGGCAGACTCTGTGCTGGGCCAGCCAGACTCTCTGCCACCCAGTGGCCAGGCAGCTGGGCCCTCAGAGCATGGGCAGGCCCTCGAATGTCAGTCTGTGAGCCGTGTAGGTGTGTGGAGACCCCACCCCACAGGCCTGAGCTGCCAGGGTTACAAGTAGGTGTCCTCACTCTCCTGGGATGTCAGGCTCTCCTGGGAGTGGTGGTGGACTGAATCCTGGGAGTGGTGATGGGCTGAATCCTGGGGAGCTGAGTCCTGCGGGGCTGGGTCCTGGTGGGCTGGATCCTTCAGGGGCACATCCTGTGGGGGACATGCATCTCCTGCAGCGGCTGCCACCTTGGCTTGACTTGGGGTTGGGGGCTTATCCAGCTGCCCGCTTGCCTTTGCCTGCTTCCATTGCTCCTTCTCCTTCTGGCTCTGTTTGGGTGGCTTGGGCTTGCCTTTAGAGCCAGGGAGCAGGGCGTCTGGGGGCAGGCGGATGGATGGTGAAGGCTGCAGGGTGGGCCAGGGGCCTGGCTCCGCCTCCATGATGGCCTTGGCACCATGCAGCCTGGGTGGAGAGCAGCACTGCAGCTCACCCCGGGTCTCTTGCCAGCGCCGCAGCTGAATGAGGTGCTCACGCTCAATCTGGCGCTCTGTCACCGGCAACTCTACCACCTGTGTGGGTGGTGACAGGAAGATGGGCACCAGGAAGAAACTTCCCCTCTACTTCCCAACCTGGCCCTGCTCTCCCTCACCATCCCCCAGCCCTGGTCACTAAAGGCTGACCCTAGGAATAATGGGGGTCTGGTCCCTGTGGTGATCACAAGTCCCAGAGCCGAGTGCCAGGTGAGCCAGGCACTTGGGACCCACTGCCTCAAAGGAGAAAGCTGCCCACAACTCGAGTCCACTTGCCTAACTATGTGTCACCTAAGTACAGTCCCTGAGAGACAAAAACCCACAAAGGAAAGAAAAAAGGGAAAATAAAGCCAAGGCCATGGATGCAGTACAGGAAAGAAGAGAGGGTGATGAGTTGCAGCTCCTCTCATTCCCAAGTGGTTCAGAACAGGGAAGGCCCTGCAAACCTAGGCCTCTCTGTGCCTCTGTCTTCTCATTAAGACAGGAGGATAAGGTCTACCCATACCATCCTGAGCTGCTGAGCACCAGGCCTGGCACCAGTAACCTACCTTTGGGGCAGAGAGTTACCAGGCCCCTTCTAAAGGGCCCCCATGTCTCCCACTCCCACCCAGGGGTGATGGGAGGGTGTGGGCCGTACCTCCTGGACCAGGAAGGCCTCCTGCATGATCTTGGGACTGAGGCTCCGCAGTTGCTCGATAGTCTCATACTGGCCCTGACAGGCTTTGAGCTTTTCAGGGGAGCCCAACGCATGTTTCAGCAGCACCAGCCCCACCCGGAAGATGATCTTGACTCCTGCATGAGGGGGTGGTAAAAGGGCCTGTAAGAAGTTTCTCTGAAAATAGAGGCCCCCTGTGGGCTGGGTTAGAGGCAGGGCTGTTCCCCCAAGCCCAGCCCAGTACCTTCACAGAAGAACATATCCCAGACGCGAAGCACGGAGCTCCAGGGCAGGGTGCGGGCAAAGGCACACATGAACCACTCTGTCATGTACAGCAGTGGGTCGATCTTCTGCCGGCTAAGGTGCTTGTGGGCCACGGGTGACACCTTCTGCAGCAGGGAGAAGAGGATCTCCCCATCCAGTTGGATCGCCTCCTGGGGAACACAGTGAGGCCGTGGGGCCAGGACTGTAGTCGACACTTTGGCTCCCAGTACCAGGCAGGCATTCGTTCATCCCTCAGGCAGCTACTGCCTGCAGGGAGCCAACCTTGAGTTGGGTGCTGGGATACACTGAAGAGCAAACCACACACAGTTGGTCTACCTCGTGGAGCATGTAGTGAAAAGGGGCAGACAGATGAATCACAGGGGCAAAGAGACGGGGGACAGGGTGGGCATTGGTGGGGTAGGTGGCTAAGTGCCCAGAATATGGCAGAACCAGGAATACTGGATTAGCTTGTGCCAGAGGTCCCACTTGTCAGAGTCACAAAAAGCTCCCTGAGGGCTGAAAGCTGAAGGAAAGGAGGGGTTATTATGGGAATGAAGGGGGTAGAGGTTTAAGCCTCAAGGCTGAGGCAGGGAGGAACTTGGTGCACTGGAAGAACTGTGATCCTGCCAAGCAGCCAGATGGCTAGAAGCAGCCATGGAGGCCAGGGTGGAACCGATAACTCTGGAGCCTAGAAGACCTCACTTTGGAGGGCCTTGGGTCTTCAACCTGAAAGCAACAGAAGTCTGGGAAGGTTTTAAGCTGGGGCAACAGTGGCTGTGGAGAGAAAAGCCTGGACAGGCCACAAAGGGCAGGTCCCAGGCCTGGTCTGGACCCAGCAAGCACTCACCAGTTTCTCACTGTAGTAGCCAGGAAGGTACTTCTCACAGATCTGCACCAGGCACCAGAAGGCTTGCTATGGGTGAGAGAGACATGAGGCCTTGCTGCTGGGTATTCCCTGCCCACCCACTCACCCGTCCAGGGCCTGGTGGTACCTCAGCAGGCATGTGCATGAGCAGAACAGCGGCAATGGGCGCCTGGGCCTGGCAGTAGCCCTCCTCAGGTCGGTAAAGGGTATAGGCCTTCAGCACACGGAATAGGTCCTGCTGGCTGTAGAAGGGCCAAGTGGGGCAGGGAAGATAGGTATGACTCTGCCACCCCCTGCCAGACCAGACCTGTCTCAGAATTTGCACCTCCCTGGTGACCTAACTATGGTCAGCAAGGGGTTGGTCTCCCACTGCAGCACTCAGACTCTCACAAGACCAGAGGAGGAGGCAGGGAGGGCACCTCCCCTGCCCCACCCCATATGACAGCTGAGAGCAGAGGCTCAAAGAGAAAGCAGAGGGAGAGCCAGGCAGGATGCCAGATACAAGGTAAGAGTATGTCAGGGCTGGAAGTGTGGGCCTCTCATTCAGCAGCTGTGTCTCCCTGGCCAGATAGCTTTGTCCCAAGTGTCTGTCTTGGGCCTCTGGCCTGGCCTGCCTATCTTTCCCCTCCTACATACCTTCTGCCCACCCAGTTATCTCTAACCCTCTTTCTCCCCACCAAAACCTGTTTCCAGAAGAGGACCCGGCAAGCTCTAGCACGCTGGGGAGTAAATGAAAGTTGCCCCAAAGGTAAGAGAAGAAGCTAAGGAGACCCATCCGATTCAAACCAAAGGGAAACTCTAACAGTGGAGTTTGGGGCTCCCAGTTTCTGGGCCCCTGAGATACACCCAAACTCATTTTACATCCTCCACGCCCTGAGGGACAGGGCCCAGAATCACCTCCAGCCCATAAGATCCAGCCTGCTCACCCATGGCCTCCCCGGGACACAAACATCTCATGAAAAGGGAACTGCCGGTGCAGATCACGTTCAATGACATCCAGCCACTTGGGGTCCCCAGGGGACATGTCCAGCTCCTAGAAGCAAGATCAAGAGCATGTATTAGGAGTTAGAGATGGCTGCTGGGAAGATACAACTGTCCCAGGTATTGGAGGAGCCCTCTGCCAGGGGCAATGCCCACCCAATCCCATCACGAACTGGACCTTCCTTAAGACAAGTCAGGAAGCTCAGGTAAGGAAGCCTGAGAAGAATGAGAGAGAAGGGGCAAAGAGGCAAGGAGGGAAGGGCCCTAGAAACCCTGAGGGGTGATCCTGGCTCCAGGAAGACCCACGCAGTCAAGAGTGTCTGTCATAGCTGTGGCTGGAAATAACCTTCAGGCACTTTAGTCAGGACTCATCAAACACCTTAGGTCCTTAAGATGGAAGGCTACTATCAAAGCAATGGCTATCACC